TCGCCACACAGCCCGCCAAATGCGGCTACTGTGCATCTCTTGCCACATACGCAAAATTGAGTTGCAACCACGGCCGGCAAACGGCAACAGCAGACTCTGAAGCTGTGGAGCTGCGAGGCAACCAGCCGGGCAACCAACACGCCACTGGCAGTGCCAAGTCCCGTTGTAGTTGCTAGCTGCCTGCTGCTTTTTCCGGCTGCTTTTCCGGGGCTTTACACGCCTTGTCTAGGTAGCAGCCCCACCCACAAAAACCACTCGTAACCACTACTTACAACCACCCACCACTTTCCAAAGCAGTTGTCTGCCAACTGCCAATCGAACTGGTTCGCCAATTCGTTGCCAGTGTTTGGCTGAAAAGTTAAATGAAATCGAGGTCGGGGGTCAAGGTAGGGGTTGAGTTGATAAGTGAGTGCCAAGGAGGGATAGAGCTTTAATAAGAAGCATCTTCTGCTTCTTCTTTAATAAGAAGAATCTTCTGCTTCTTCTTTAATAAGAAGAATCTTCTGTTTCTTCTTTAATAAGAAGAATCTTCTGCTTCTTCTTTAATAAGAAGAATCTTCTGCTTCATCTTTAATAAGAAGAATCTTCTTCTTCTTCTTTAATAAGAAGAATCTTCTGCTTTTTCTTTAATAAGAAGAATATTCTGCTTCTTCTTTAATAAGAAGAATCTTCTGCTTCTTCTTTAATAAGAAGAATCTTCTTCTTCTTTAATAAGAAGAATCTTCTGCTTTTTCTTTAATAAGAAGAATATTCTGCTTCTTCTTTAATAAGAAGAATCTTCTGCTTCTTCTTTAATAAGAAGAATCTTCTGCTTCTTCTTATTAAATCTCCATCCCTGAACCTTCTGATTCACGGAGTATTCGATTGTGCATTACAAGTCTTGACTAAGAAACATATTTCCAAAAAGATTTTGGTTGCTGAGATAAAGTTGGTGTCCTTAAATCGTAATATCCATAGCAAGCTGAGAGTAGATTCCGCAATATAGCAGAGCAGACTTTCTTTCGCATCGCAGCAGAATGCAATCCCTAGCCAGGGAAGGCCAAGTTCAAAACATTTCATGGCGATTTCACATTGATTGGAACAGTAAAAAGCAATGGACGTGCGTGGAGAGTTTTTGATAGAATGAGGGAATAGTCATAATAGACACTTAGTGTTAAGAATAGATTTCTTAATTTGGGAAAGAAGACTTTTCTTCGCATGCCCTCAGAGTTCTAACGGACAGGAAGATCTTCTCTCGTTATGCTGATCATATATGTACCTAAAATATTAAGTCTGCCACGCTCCCTTCTGCCAGTTAAACCAAATCTTTAGCTTTCTATTATACCCTTTAATATTTGAAAAAAAAATATATTGACGTTATGACAAAATATTATGATAATAATATCGTTGGCGCTGACATCGAAGGCAGCAATCAGAATAGAAATAAAAAATGTTGCAACCTTTCATGGCGATCAATGAAAGTAGATTATAATTTAATGAGTTCTTAATAAAAGTTTCAGTCAATTTTATTCTAATTTCTCGGTAATTATTTCGTACATTATCGAAGTTATACTATACTTCCTATAGATGAGCTCAAAATCTTCTAATAGATGTTTTTGTTTGACCAGCTTTGTTTATTTTGACATTCTTCGAGAAAAACTGTATTCTCTTTCCTCACTATTCTAGTTAGTCGATTCAAGCTTCATTCTTGCACCTTGTACGGATTATCTCGGCTATACTGTATTCATTACTAGCTTTGAGTCTTTTAAGAAAGGGTTTTCCTCTCCAACTGAATTCACTTGACATCTTCCCACTATTTTAGTTCGCCAAATGGAAGAACGCTGTGGAAGAATCTTCTTATTATACTTATCATACTTCTTATATTTTGACCTTTTCTTAGAAATTGATTCGAAAGGACTCTACTTTCGCTCGCCACTATTCTATAGTAGTTCGTCTAGTTCGTCGCTTTGATGTTGATGACACAGTTCTGTTCCACACACACACACACACATTTTGCACATTACGAGTAATCATCATTTTCTGTTGGCAATAAACACATGCTGGCTGCCTCCTCCGCCATCCCAGCCCCTCCCCCTCCCAGCATGTGCTGCCTGGCAAGTATTTGTGCAACATTTTGCAGCTCGTATGATGAGGCGGCAATGCCAACAGACTGACTGACTAGCCAGCCCAGTCGAGTCGAGCATCAACCCCCAACCCCTGCCCCTGCAACTGCCCCAACCGGCAACCCTCCTCACACATCGCATTTACATAGTGCTGGCCATAACATGAATTTACAATTTCCAGTGCAGTGCACACTCATTTTTTATTTCGTGCGATATTTTTATTGCACGCGCTCGAAAAAAACAACAAAAACACAACAAAAAGTGAATCAGCTAACAAAAAAAATAAATAAATGAAACTATGCACAGGTTTCCTCTCCCATGGGAGCGCGTATGTAAAATATTGCCATTGGGCATTGAATGTGAACGGTTCGCAGACAAAAAACTAACAGTTTTGATTAAATTTAAAAGGTGGGTAATGCTGTTTTTCACTGCCACAGTGCACCCTCCCACTAAAGAACGTTCGTGGATGCAACGAGCTATCTAGCTGATGTTAAAATGTTGACCATCTTGGCTGCTTTAACTGCACGAGCTGCGCTTGAAATTAACCTTATTTAACCTTTTTCGTAATTTATAAAGAAGGGTCAAGGGCAGCAAATGGAAGGATATATGGACGCGTCTTTTTAATGTTTCTTCATTCTACAAAATATTGTATTCAGAGGTGCCACAAAAGAGTCTAAAGATTTCGACTATTAATCAAATCTCTAGACAAAACCGAGACTTGTTCTTAGAGATTTCTGTGGCACTCCCGATTAAGTGGAAAAGTTATTTGTTTCAATAAAATGAACTCATTTTTCGAATATACCAATTCTTTGTTTTTATTTTTAGCACGTTCCGTTTATTTTGGAACGCACCTTGTAGAGTAAAACTTAAGCTTTTCACATCACGTGGAAAAAAGGCAAATTAATTTTAAAAAATGTTAATATATTTTTTTGAAAAGCTTCTAAACCACTTTGCTTCCATAAAGTCATTAAAGAAGTTACCAATGTAGATTTTTTCTGAGGCTAAAAAGCCGAAAAACCACTTAATAATTATTCTTTAAAGCAAGTACAGGCACGAAGTGGTTTGGGAAAATATAGCCCGCAAGTGGGTTAATCATAAATATGATTTTTCATTATCTTTGAGGAGTTCCTTTTGCAATTACATAAAAAGGGCAATCCTTTAGGAGAAAATGTGAAATAGAAGCTACTCTGTTCCAAATTTGATTTTCTTATTAAATAGAGTAATTATCGTAAATAAATGCTCTAAGTTCTCATTGAAATATTGGAAAAAATGTTAATAATTAGAAATACTTTCATCAGCTACTGTAGCAGCTGTGGGATGCTTACAACTTACAGCATTTTTTGCTAATAATCATATACAATAAATATTTATTTATATATATTAAAATAAAAACGACTCCCCTGCATACCAAAAAGTATAGTAAAAGCTCTCTATTTACATTTAAAATGAATATATGAATATAATGAAAATATGTTTAATAAAATAAAAAAAAGAATTATTAAAAAATGTATTTGGTGCAATATTTTGTAATTAATTGAAGACAGCCAAGTATTATACTAAAATTAGAATTATTTTCTTTTTGAATTGTTTAGCTTGGTTTTCCTTTATTTTTTTTAAATCAATAACTCTAAAATAAGTGTAGATAAACAATTTATAAATTTATATATTCTGAATTAAAAAATGTTAAATGCATACATATAGTATTTTAATTATGAAAAAAAGCAGAAACATACAAAAACTAATAAGTAAAGATTGATTTTTGTTAATGAGCCTCATTCACCAATGGGAGTGTTTACTGTACTCGTCAGAATTTGTATGTTAAGTAAAATGCAAAAATTGACTTTCCGCCTTTCGCCCAAAGTCGATTTTGATGCACAGCCACAGCACAGATAGAGCGCTCCTCTATTATATGCCACACAGACTGGCAGTGCCCCGAAAATGTTTGTTTTGTGCATTTCAAATGTACGCATTAAACCAACATCAGACATCGGCTCTAAACTAATCAAGTAGGTCGCACAAAAACACACACACACTTACATTCTGCGCTGTAACCCAAATACATATTGATGTTTACAGCATGGCAAATATTTGTGGCAAAAAGCAAAGCAGACCACTGTGCAACATGCAGAGCAGCGTCAGAGCAACATCAATAACAGCAGCAATGTAAAACAAACAGACACATTTGTACAGACACATGTGCATATGGACGGACAATAGCAGGAGATTATCAAGCCAGTTCGAAGCCAACAAGAACAACAACGACAACAACTAGTCGCACTCAAATGGCGTCGACAGTCAACCAGAAACAGTAATAGCAACAACACTGCTGCAATGCACAAGAGACAAACAAATCCAAATCAAACTGACAAAAGATGCTCAAACTAGAACACAGAACATAACAGAACACCAGAGAGTGTGAGTGTAAATGGGCGCATGCAGTAACAGTATCAGTAGCAGTGGCAGCGGCAGCAGCAGCAGCAGCAGCGTATGTTGGCAACACACGGCTTAGCAACATCTAAACAAAAGCGGGCCGCATGTTGCTAGCTTAGTGCGCATGTTGCTAACACAGCTACGACAAATGTTGCTAATGCAATGAAACGACGCTCCGTTAACATGGACGCAGCATGAAAGCAGCGCAGCGCAGCGCAGCAACACAACTCGTTGCACCTAACAGCAACAACAGCAGCAGCAGCAGCAGCAGCAACACAAGCAGCAATGGGGGTGTGTATGTGTGTGCTTGTGTGACGCACGCTGCGCTGCCGCCGTCAACTGCGACTACACTGCGTGGCTGTTTGGCAACTTCATAAACATACAACGGCTCAGTCGTTTAGTAACTGTTGCATCCAGCGCTTCGTTCAACATTTCGTGCGCTCGCGTTCGCTCTCTATATATATATACATACACACGTATATCACACATACACAAACAAACACACACATTATAGCCATATCGTACATCGTCGCCAGTACACGTTCGTTCGTTCGCTCGCTCGTTCGTACGTTCCACTTCGTTTTTTAACGAATCTGATTCAGAAAGCCGGCCCCACAACCGAGCCCCATCGTCATCAATTTCATAACGTCATTTCGTCGTTTTTGTCGCAGTGTGCGCTCCACCTCTGTGTATGTGTGTGTGTGTTGGTGTTGGTGTTAACTTGGCCAAGTTGGTTACACTTGCGTCTTGTGTGTCTCCACTTAGTTGCTAACGCGCTTCCAGCTAGAATAGCCAGCCAGCCATAGCCACAAAGGTCAGACAGCAGCGACATTTAAACTCAATCGCAATCGCAATCGCATTCGTAAATAAAACAACGCGCGCGCGCAAATATCTCGTCTCGAGTGTCCTGCCAGCCAGCAGGCAAGTGAAATCTCGCAAGTTCAATAAACCCGCACAATAGTGAAATAATAGTGAGGAAAATAATAGAAAAAAAAAACCAATAGTTTGTGCGCAAAATTTGTTGTAAAAAAAAAAACACACACAGCCAGGCAGCCAGCCAGTCAGCTAAGAGAGTGAGTGTGAGAGAGTGCTTGAGTGTTTGTGCTTAGCGGTTTGTGTGTTGACAGTGCGCGCTAAAAGTAAATACACACACAAACACACACACAGATATAAATGTATATATAATCGCACACAAAGGCACGCCAACCATAAAGTGCAGGCCACGTTAAGCGACACAATTTTATGTATGAAAAGGCAAAAAATCGCGCTAAGCCCTTTGCCAAATACTCGTACGTGTGCGAGCACATAATAAAAAAGTCTTTGCTCCGGCCAGGCTGAAAGTAAAGCAAAGAACGTAAAATATACAAACAACAACAGCAAGAACAACAACAATAATACCAACAACAAGAACAACAACAAGTAGACTCGTTTTATTCACATATATTTATTGGGATTACAAGAAGTAGCGGAAGAAGTACAACCAGCCACAAAATGTCGCCGATCGTTTTTGCATTTTTGGCAGCCATCTTAACAGGTAAGTCGCCCACTACCCCCTTTCCCCCTTTCCCCCTTTTCCCCCCCTTTCCCGTTAGGCATGCCAGCTTAGACACAAAACGAAAGCTTAAGAACCTGCCCAGATGATATCATAGCATTTTATTTTAAGCGCTGATTCGCAGCTAAAGAGCTTCGCAGCTTCTTCTTCCTCCCCATCTGAGTGTTTTTAGAAAACATGTTCCCAGCCATACATACGTTTTTCATATTGACGTTGATTGCGCCCCCATTGTGAATTGATTGATGATGACGCCTCGAACGCCTCGGAAAGTGTTAGAATCGAGTGATAGAGGCGTAAGAGCGAGAACAGGTTTGCGGTTTTTGGTGTGACCTCCATTTTATTTTGGCATTTCGCCTCTGGCTACTGCGCATGCTCGAAAGGGGCGAAGCCGAGGCGCCCAAAAAAAAAAGAGTTTAGCCGAAGCAACTACGAAGTGAAGAAGCAGTTGAAATACAGCCGGAAGTGCTGCTTCGGGCAACCCAACCATTTCATTTGGCAACTGGAACACGTGCATAACTCAGCCAATAGAGCAGGGATTTGCACGTTCGTGGGCTCATTGAATGCGTTTGCCACTCAAGTGCACTATGACAAGTGTTGTTATGAGGTATTCGTATTATAGAAACCATATAACTGACGCTGAATCATAATAGCGTTATGATTTGTTAGCACTTTGACACGCTTGTATTCAAATCTCACGCTCGGTTTCGTCAAATTGAACTTTTGAGTCACCATTAGACATACTAAAAGTGTCTATTGGCAACAAATATTAGCACGTTTGGAAATATGAATAAGCAGCACAGTTTGTTAGCAGAACGTTAGATTCAATTGCATATAGTATATGAAATAACTATGCAAATTACCAGCTGTTTGATTTAAATTAAATGAAAAAATAAACAAAACAGCAAAAGGTAAACTATTTCCTTTTTCTATTCTAGGGCTACTAGTTTTGGATATGTTTGTATAAATGTGTTGGGTGTTTAGATGGATCGGATTAAATCGATCTAGAAAGAATTTCTTTCTTCTTGCCTCTCATGGGATTCCAATCTTCGTTTACGACCCTACTCTAGCATTCTTTCTTTGTAGGACAATTCTTGATGTTCTGTTCCTTCACAATGAGAAATGTTGATTCCTCTGTTCTTCCTGGTTGTCTTCATTTTTTAATGCCTTCCAGACCAACAAGAAATTTTTTGCCCCTTCTGCACAACTGTTATTAATTTAATCACCTGCTCTTAGGCGAAGTCTCCCCTCCTCATTAAAAGCACATAGTTTCAGCTACATCCGAGTAAAGCGAAAGAATCTTTAATTAAACATGTCTGTGAGTTGAGACATAGCTGGGCGGACTTATTATTTTTCACCCATAAAATACTGTTCGTAATATTAGTCTAACCAAATTAAAAAGATTTGTAGAGTCCGATTTTTGTTTTCAGAACATCCATCCAACTAAACAGAATATTTATTTACCTTAGCTTTGATACATTTCTGCAGGCAGAAAGAAGAACTTCTATAAAAAAAAATAGCGCCCATATAGGATGCTTTCACTCGCATTCCTCAAAGACAGCGACGCATACTTGTCGCGCTGCTGTGTTTTGTTTGGTCGCCTTGAATGCGACATGAAAGCAAATGTAAGCAGCTTTTGAAGAGCCAGTGTGTTGCAGCATCTGCTCAGAAATGCATACAGCCGAAGCGCACATGTCCCTTTGCAGCAGCGACATATTTAATTAAAATGCTTCAACGTCCTTTTTGTCTCGCCTCTTATTACGCCACATAAAATTTGTGCAGCAACAGCGACAGCAGACTGATACTGAGACTAACTCATTAGCCCCGAAAAAAAGGGAAGAAGGCGATGATGGCATATGAACAGGGCTCAGCAGCTACATCAGCTGTGAGCTGTCTCATTAGGAAACCAACAGACGGAGCCAACTGACACGGCTTTAAGATGCCATGCCAGTCAGCCAGTCAGCCAGCCAGCCACATTTTGTTTTGCAAACGCCCGCTAAATCCAATCCAAACAAACCTTTCAAAGTGCTTCAGGTCCGCTTTTCAGGCTGCCTGCCACATAAAGCGCACAAAATATATGCAAAGTAAAAAATCCTGAAATATTTCGCAGCACTGCCGAAAAAACAAAATAAAAAAAGCCAAAGAAGACACAAGCGGGCGTTAAGCTGCATTTTCTTGTAACATAAAACTGCAAGCAAATGCCTTGTCCCACTTCCACTTAGGCTCCCAAACAGGGTGTGACGAAGTTTTGGACAGCATATTGAATAGCTTATAACCAATTAACTGAAAAAGCTTCCTCTCACAATTTTGTTGATCAATTTGCAGTAAAAAGTCAATTGGGAATGAACAAAATAAACAGTATTCGATGATAAATGATGACAACGTTCTTCAGACAGGATATTAGACAATTTACTAGAACTGCTTCAGATAATGATTAGTTTGCTTTAAATCATTATGTTTCAATTAAAAATAATTAATATAAAAAATATAATATAATAATATAAAAAAAATTACAAATGGAGGCACTTCCTTTGATAAGCAGTTTGTTCGCAGCTAATGCACTGCTTGCCGCCTTAACTCTTCATTTGGCAAGCAGTTCACAAAGCTCAAGGCAGTCGTAAGTTTTCAAATCTATTCGTGGTTATGAGAAGATTATTTTATTTGATTTAATTTCCTTGATTTCTTGTAAAGCCTAGACTTTTAAATAAATTATAGATGAATAGAAAATCTCGAATATTCTTCCCAGCTCACTCAATTTTTGAATTGAATTTTTTGAGTTAATACAAAAACTGAAAAATGTTTCTGAATATGATACGAGAGTTACATTCCAATCACAAATAGACTGAAATGTCGCTTCTGAATTTCAATTTTCTAAAGTTCTGTTAATAAAAGAATTTGGGAATTCTTCCCAGCTCACTCAAAAAAAAAATAAAAATTACATTCCAATCACAAATAGACTGAAATGTCGCTTCTGAATTTCAATTTTCTAAAGTTCTGTTAATAAAAAAAAATTGTGATTTCTTCCCAGCACACTCAATTATTGAATTCAAATTTAAGTTAATAAAAAAAACTTTGAATGCCTTTCTGCGTAAAATGTTTCTTAATATGATATTATATTTCAATCACAAATAGACTGAAATGTCGCTTCTGAATTCCAATTCTCTAAAATTCTGTTAATAAAAGAAATGTGAATTCTTCCCAACTCACTCAAACTTGAATTCAAATTCAATTCAAATATGATACGAGTGTTACATGAAAATCACAAATAGACTGAAATGTCGCTTCTGAATCGCAATCTTCTGTTAATAAAAGAATTTGAGAATCTCCTTGTTCGCATAATGTCTTTGATGATAATGATAGTATTATTGGGAAATAATCATACTCGGATAGGTCTCTTGTGACTAGCGCTGGACACCCTGTTGTCAACCTATCCCAATTCGCTTCCGCTTCTCTTCAGCCCGCCATCCCGCCCCGCTGCACACATTTTGTCTGCGCTACCTCATTTCTCAGCCGGCGCACTTCACAGTGAATACTTTTACATTTTTATAAGGTTTGTTGGGCGGCGCGCCACGCATCAGCTTTACAATTTTATATGCAACTCTCGTCGACGACGGCGTCAGCGTCGCTGCTTGCCGCTTGCTGCGTTGTCTTGCAATTATAAATGTTTAATGCGCAACTGCAGGCAGACAGCGAAAAGGACGGGGAGGAATCGGAAGCGGCTGAGCTCGGGCATTGGTAGACCGGGAGACGACTTCAATATACAAAAAAAAAAAAAAACAAGCCAAACGAAAGAAAGGGCTTCAGTTGCTGCATTGGCATGAAATGTAAATAAAGCAGATACAAGCACACACACATAGAAAGATTCCCACACACACCAACACACACATAGAAATACATGTGCGTTTTGTTTGCATCTTATTTAATTTTTCGCTCTGGCGTCACACGCGGCGTATTCGTAATGCGGGCAACAAAATGAAATGTCAAATGCAAAAACTAGTTACCGGTTATGCATTTTAATGGCCATAAAGTGATGTTCGCCAGCAAGCATGCATGCATGCATGTGTGTTTGTGTGTGTTTGTTTGTGTGTGTTTGTTTGTGTGTATCTGTGTGTGGGCCTTATATAATAAATAAAATGGCAAACAAAAACGCCAGCATTGAAATAAATATTTGATGTTTGCTTTGGCAATTGCTTAGTTTCTGGTTTGGTTCTCTTCTCCCTCTCTCTCCCTCTCTCTCTCTCTCTCTGCAGCTCGTTGCCAGGATAGCCGCAGCCTGTAACTGTGCATGCTGCATAACATAACTCTTTTACCTACGGTAATTGCATGGCCAGCTACCACACACACACACACACACACACACACACACACACATGGGGCAGTTATATGCTCATTCATATTCATAACATCGTTTCGTTAGTGTTTTGCTTTGGCTTTGTGTGCCGGAGCAGCTGCCTTTTTGGCTTCTTTTTTGCCATTCGGGGGCTGCTGACCAAATTTGTAACTGCAAACTGTGCAATTTTAACACACACACTCACACACACACTCACACACACACACACACACATGCATTACATATGCACAGAGTGCAGGTCATTTATATTTGAATGCAGGCAGCTACATTATCATCATTTGGTCCAAAGCCACAGGGGGCGCCTAATGATTTTCAGTTACAATAGCTTAGCGTTTTATTCAGAATTCAGTTTGCCAGGCTTTCGTCCTTAGTTCGTTTCTCACAGTCGGTTGATTAAATTTATTTGTCAACATTATTAACATGTGAAATCAAATTCGATATTCAGTTCAAATTAGATCATTTTGTCATTTTTATAGGCTTTTTTATTTCTTTAGTATTGCTTAGTTTAGGTTCTCTATTTTATTGATTTTTTTTTTCGATTTCTTTTACATCGACTGCATGGTTTGTCGATGAAATAAATACATAAATAAAATAATGAAAATAAATTAAACAAGTTTCAGTTTTCAATTATCAT